ACATGGTGCCATGAAACAAGAAGATAACTATTCTACCCCTGATAATATGGCTATAGATCCTAGACTTCAAGATAACAGGCCTGAGACTGGACAGCAACTGCTTCAAAAACTACTTAGGACAAAGAATCAGCTTGGAGCTCAACGGACACCTGATGGCATCCACAATGAAATTAATGGGCACATAAACAATAAATTGGCAATGCTGGAACAAAAGCTTCAAGGGACACCTCAAAACATGGAGGATTTGCAATCTCTTACTAAAAGACCCCCTTTGCCTAAGCCCAAACGTACAAATAAAGTAACCAGTGGGCCCAATGCAAGAAAAAAGACCAAGAAGGATGAACTAGGGAAAAGCCCAGAAGCTCTCATGAAACAGCTGAAACAGGTACTGATTATACCACACCACATTACCAGTGTTTGATTGGCATGAGATCTGTTTTCTATTAATGTTATTGTTGACATTTCAGGGCTTGTCTCTGCTGCCTCTGATGGAGCCATCCATAACCACAAGCCTAGATCTTTTTGCTCCTTTTGGGAGCAGTCTACCCAATGGTAAAGCCCAGCTGAAAGGATCATTTGGAAATGCAGTACTGGACAATGTCCCAGACTACTATTCTCAGCTACTTACAAAGGTAGGGCCATGAATTTCTAACCACTTTTTTCACTTAAATGCTCATAATACAGAGTTTTCAGCTGTGTTTTTGTGCACTCTTGTATTTTCAGAGTAACCTTAGCAACCCTCCTACACCTCCATCATCTCTGCCTCCCACACCTCCTCCTTCAGTACAGCACAAGCTGCCAAATGGGATGACCACTGGGGAGGAGCTTTCAAAGTGTAAAGAGGCAGATGCTGCTGTAGAGCCAATGGGTAAATACATCTAACTGTAACCTTAAATATGATGTATGTGGATGTTAAAGTCTGTGTTCTTTATAGACACCACGTCTGAAGCAGTTAAGAGTGTCGACATTCTGGCAGCTCTTCCTACTCCACCACACAACCAGAACGAAGACATCAGGTAAAAGCGAACACTTGAACTCAAAGTTTTGGATTTATTTCAGCATTTGGTCAAATGAAAAATGTTCAACAGAATGGAAAGTGATGATGAAGATGCACCAGAAAGCATTATTCCAGCATCATCCCCAGAGAGTAATGTAGGAGAAGGAACAACACGGTTCCCTCAGCTCAAAGAGCCCAAGGAGGAAGAGACTGAAAGGGCTATATCTCCCATTATTCCTCTCATCCCTCGTACACCTATACCAGGTATGCATTTACTTACAGTATCTTTTAAATTACATTTTCTTTCTGATTAACATACACATCTCTTAAAGAATTTCAAGAAAATAAACCACTTACTGATGACAAGGTTCTTTCTACATCAAACCATCTAAACAGACCAAAAAGTAATGAAGTGTCTGTCACCTTCACACTGTCCTCTGCAGCTGCAAAGGTAGCTAACGCAAGAAAAGACAAACATTTTATTCTAAAATGTTCTGTTTAAAACGTAAAGCATCTTTTTCCTCAGAAACTCAACCATGTGATGATGGCCATGGCTCAGCTCCTAAGCATCCGGATGCCGGGGTCTTATGAGGTGACTTTTCCTCCTCAAAACCTGGATTTTGATGGGTCCAGTAAGGCACAAGGACAGCCAGGTAATAGACATTCAAGGTGTTGACTTATGACTTATGTTAGGAATATTATGATCTTGACTGAAATGGGTCCACATATTGTGTGTTTCTACAGGTTTCCCTGGTGCCCTCTGTGTAAAGAACAATGCCACACCTAATCCAGATGAATGGCTCAGGCAGTTTGATGTATCGCTTCCCGGCTGTACACTCAAGAAACACGTGGACATACTTTCACTCATAAAACAGGTATCATTAGATCTCTGTACCTGTGTATGTTTTAATATATACATAATCATGTTTTTGATAATTTAATGTACAACTTTAAAAAGAGCATGATGCCATGGTGCATTTCCCATACTTGTATACTAGAGTTTTTAATTACAATCTCTGCACTGTTTGTTTGTGCTTTGTTCTGTAGGACTTTGCGGAAAATGAGGATAAGCCAGCACTACACTATTACACAACAAACGTGAATGATTTGGATGTTAGGCACCTTCCTGTTATTCCAGTTGAGGAATCTCCACCTCCGTCGCCTCCTCTTCCAGACGAAGAAGAACCTTCTGCCCCAGAAGCAGTTTGTGAAACAGTTCCACCTAAAACCTCTCGTCCTTCCTCTCCCTCTGTGCAAGAAGAAGTAAAGGTCAAGACTGAGCCAGAGCAAGAAGATGGAGCTTCACAACCCAAAGCCTTAGAATCTGAAAGTGCTTCAGTTTCTCCTTCAGTCACACTTAGTGGTGCATCTGCTGAAGACTCACTAAAGATTACAGCTTATTCTAAGGAGGAGGATATGAGCACTGACTCAGCTGAGCCTGAAAAAGATGCTCCTAATGCCTTGGAGTCTTCCCCAAAATCCATGAAGCAACGCAGATCGCTCTCGCCTGAACCGGAGGTAGTCCAACCAAAAGTGAAGAAATGGAAAGGGATTAGATGGAAGCGTCTTCAGTTTGTCATCACAATCCGTAAGGGTGGCTCCAAGAAGGAGAGCAGCCGTGAAGTTTCAGAGCTGATGGAGCGACTGCGCATCACTTTTAGACCAGAGAAACTCCCTCGCGACAAACGCAAATGTTGCTTTTGTCACGACGAAGGCGATGGGGCCACGGATGGGCCGGGGCGCTTGCTTAACATTGATGTGGATTTGTGGGTACATCTGAATTGTGCTCTGTGGTCTACTGAGGTCTATGAAACACAAGGAGGAGCACTCATCAATGTAGAGGTAGCCCTGCGCCGAGGTCTGCGTACCCTCTGTGCCTACTGCCAGAAAACTGGTGCCACTAACAGCTGCAACAGACTGCGCTGCCCTAATGTCTATCATTTTGCCTGTGCGATCCGAGCACGCTGCATGTTCTTCAAGGACAAGACCATGTTGTGCACACAGCACAAGCTGAAGGGCCCCAGTGAGGACGAGCTCAGCACGTTTGCTGTGTTGAGGAGGGTCTACATTGAGCGTGATGAAGTGAAACAGATTGCCAGTATCCTGCAGCGAGGAGACCGAATCCATTTGTTCAGAGTCGGAGGTCTGATCTTCCATGCTGTTGGTCAGCTGCTTCCATCACAGATGCCCCTTTTCCACTCTCCCACTGCCATTTTCCCTGTGGGCTATGAGGCTACGCGCATCTACTGGAGCACACGGGTGCCTAACAAACGCTGCAGGTACCGCTGTCGGATCAACGAGGATAACGGCCGGCCTCTTTTTGAGGTGCGAGTTCTGGAGCACGGCATGGAGGATCTGCACTACCGTGACAGCTCTCCAGAGGGTAAGACTTTGGCTCACGCAATGTCAGTATTTAACAGTGATCAAACAGATCAGTGACTCCAGTTGTCCATTTGTGGTGACAGGAATTTGGAGCAGAGTGGTTCAGCAAGTGGCCAAACTTCGAGAGGAGTCTTCTATGCTGAAGCTGTTCACAGAACACATAAAAGGAGAAGAAATGTACGGACTCACCATCAATGCTGTGATGCGCATCACTGAATCAGTAAGTAAAAAAGAGGCTCTAACCTGCGACCAGAATGTAGCCTTCCTGCTCTTAGTCCATATATAATATTTAAATGACTTTGTTGTGTAGTTGCCTGGAGTGGAGAGCTGCCAAAGTTACCAGTTCCGTTATGGGCGTCACCCTCTCATGGAGCTCCCCCTCATGATCAATCCCAGTGGCTGTGCCCGCTCTGAGCCCAAAGTCACTGCCCAGTGCAAGAGGTATACAGGCATTTAAATGACTCTGGATTTGACATAATAGATAAATTTAGCATTATGAGGAAATACTTAATTTTACTGTTATCTTTATAAGGCCCCACACGCTGAATAGCACCAGTGTTTCGAAAGCCTACCAGAGCACTTTCACTGGGGAACTCAACACACCATACAGCAAACAGTTTGTTCATTCTAAATCATCCCAGTACCGTCGCCTGAAGACAGAGTGGAAGAACAACGTTTACCTGGCCCGATCCCGAATCCAGGGCCTCGGATTATACGCTGCAAAGGATTTGGAAAAGCACACCATGGTCATTGAATACATTGGCACGGTTATACGCAATGAGGTGGCCAATCGTAGGGAAAAGATATACGAGTCTCAGGTAAAACAAGCTCTACAATTTATGTTATCACAGGCATTGGATGAACCTTGTGCGTGTGCTGGAAGTCCTTAATTAAATAAATTATTTTGTGTCTCAGAATCGTGGCATTTACATGTTCCGCATCAACAATGAACAGGTCATTGATGCCACTCTGACGGGTGGCCCAGCTCGGTAAGTCTGGAGATCAGTTCATTAGCGATTAGAAATTCTAAACTGTTTAATATAATGCCCTTGTTTCCTGTCCAGCTATGTCAACCACTCCTGTGCCCCCAACTGTGTGGCAGAGGTGGTAACGTTTGACAAGGAAGATAAGATCATCATCATTTCCAGCCGAAAGATTCCAAAGGGAGAAGAGGTTTGTGATCCTGCTTTTTGACATGATTTTATTAAGGTCTTAAATATGAATGTGTTTGTGTTCTCTTTACTACAGCTGACGTATGATTACCAGTTTGATTTTGAGGATGATCAGCACAAAATCCCTTGTCATTGTGGAGCCTGGAATTGCAGAAAGTGGATGAACTAAAAGTATTCCCCTCCAAAGGTGCCAGAACCATGTGCGCCAAAGCCTTTGGTTCCATCTTAGCCAGTGTATAAGCTGAAAGATGTGGAGGTGATGCGGCCTCCACCAGTGAAAGACTAAAGCAGTGACCCCTGTAGCCAAAGGTATGAAGAGCATTAATCAATAAAGCAACAAACCCTCACAACAGAGGCATGTCAGCCAACAACTCTCTCCTCCTTGACTATTTTCAATAAGCTTACAACAATCCTCAACATCTACCAAATGATCCTGACCTTCTGATATCAACCCTCATACTACAGAGCTCAGCTGGAGCTGCGACAAAAAGCCATGTTCAAATACTGAGAATGAACTTGATACATTTTTATGTTTTGAGACGGACCTATTTCCTGCTCTTTTACACTTTATCCTCACCTCCTTGAAAGGCACTTTCCCATCAACTCATCAATGAAGACAACATGGATATTATTGGCTCGCTAGACAATCAGGACGTGGCTCTGCATTTGAGCTGCAAATGATTGATGGAAAAAGATGATTATTAAATTGGAGATGTTTTGTTCTATGGCTCAAGTTGTTCTGACTGTGTGGAGTCCCTAAGGTGGGTTAGTGTGACCCTGTCTACCTCATTGATTTAACGGGAAGTGGCTGCTTTGAATAATAACTGTTAACTGCTACTGTGGAGGGGGGGGTGTTTTTATGGGCTTAGCCTTCTCGGACAAGCAGGGAAACTTAAGCAGCAGGTTTGCTCTGTCTACTCTATGCTGATGACGATTTACAATAATGAGCCAACGTAATTATTATTCATGAATTATTTATACAGAAGAAATATATGACCGTTTTGATAAAAAAAGAAAATCACAATCAGCTTAGCAGGTGTCGTGTATGCCTCCAAATCATGGACATTTCTGTTTTTCTTTAAGCGTTTTTTAGCCGTGCTCTTAGCTGTGTGAAAGCACAATAACCACCGTGTAGTTCCTTGTAGTTGTACATACTGAGCAAGCGGCTTTCAGATCTCACTTCTAGGACTAGTTTCTTCTCGAAATGCACATTTGCTTTTGCTTCACGTTCAAGCTCCACTGCTGCCTCCAGCGCAGTGGACCAATGACTACTTTATATCCCACTGCTAACACTTTGAATCATGTTTCTTCCTCTGTAATATTTAGTGGACTGTTGATAACTTTACTGTAGTAGGTCTTTCTCTGTCAGAGCGCAGCCTGCTGTCTTTACACCCCTCGAGCGAGTTTTTCTTCTGCTGGAACTGTCCCGTGAGGCTGGGCAGATGGCAGGGAAAGACTTATTGAAAAAAGGGCATTTGTTTCACCTCTATGTAAAAATGAATGAAATGTCTTTAAAGGGAGCTTTACTTAAAACTCCAGTAACCGAACTACTTTTCTCCCTCTTCCCCTAACCTGAAACCTCACTATTATTAAATGCAAATTGTACAAACTGTATATATGGTATATGCATCAGGGGGTAGCAACTCTTTATCCAGCCCCTTTGTAATCAAAAAGTCAAGAGTAGATGACATCAGAAGAAACAACCACTGGATATCATTTTAACAAAGTTGAAGCTGTATATAAATATAAATATGTGTAAATGGCAAACTAATATCTTTATGTATATGAATCAGAGTGTTTTTGCATTGACCTGTTTTCTATTAGTGTTTTTGCTAAAAGCCCTCAGATAGGTTTGTTAAAATATGTTCTCTTGAATCAGTCCAGACGCGGCTGAGGGCAATATGAGGAGCGTTTATTACACACAATTCACTTCTTTCTTACAGCAGTACTTTGGTGCATAGCATCTCTATTTATGTAATATTGTTTGTGTTTTATTTATACTACTGCTTGTTGATTATCAAAACCTGTCCCTTTATTGGTCGCAATCAGAATCATGTACTCTTGAATGGAAAACCCTGGACTCCTTATACTTCGTAGTGCTTTTGGTTTGAATCTATATTTTCCCTATAGAAGTGAATGTGCTGGTAAACCTTGTGAACCTGGCTTCCTGTATGTTGTATGATGTTAACTCCATACTTAACCTGGTTATGAATTGCACTCTCAGACTATATTGGAGAACTTCTCTGAAGTGGTAGTATACAAAGCAGTGAAATATATATATATTTTTGGTATGTTTCTATTTCAAGGGAAGACCATGAGACATTATCCCAACTCACTGGATTTTAACCTGAATTTTTAAAGGTTGCTAAATCTTAATTTAAGTTCTCTGCATATCTTATAATTTAATAAAGTTTTGCTCAAATTTAATTTTTTTAACCTCACATACTTTTTAAAAAGATATTGCATCTGTACAGCAGAGATACTTTTAGGGAATATGAATAAATATAATGTTCATTTTTATTGTATGTGGCATGTTTTGTATGGATATTATTTTGAATTGTACATATTTTTGGAGAACGCCAGAGGGTGCATCTCTTTATATACAGCTTTCCACTCTCCTCCCTGCCATCCTATTTCTTTGTCTGCTTTTGTTTCTTGTAAAGGAAAATAAAATGCATTTTAAATAAGTTACTATACTCATTTATATAAATATGGTCTACTTTCTTTGGCAGCTGATCTGAACACTGTTAGAGTGTAGTTTATTTGAACTGACACTACAGACAACATTCTACATCTGCTGATTCAATAGCAAACCAGTGGATTATTTATAGATTGTAAATGAGCTGATAATTTGTGTTTAAAAGTAAAATTTGTATTACTATCCCTTCTTTTCCACATTAAACTACTTTTTTTTTTTTTTAACCAACACCATTATCACTGATAACTTCAGCAGTACTTGTTAATAAACAGATGAAAACATGTTAGGAAAAATGATTTATTGTATATCTATGTACAAACTACCAGTGATTTTGAAACCTTTACCTATAAACTAGATGTAAGATGGTTTTATGCCAAAGTAAATACAGAGATGGCGCGTTTGACGATTTTGGTTACATATCTGCAGTCTCCCATTTTACACCACTATTTTCAGCAAGCCCTCATTACAGCAGCATCATCTCTGGGCTACCTTGTGAACAACTGAAAACAATGGTAGAAATAAAATTATTAATGGAGTTGATGAGTTCAATGAGCCAGTGTTTTGAGACAATAAATGGGTACTTTTTACACAGCGTGAACAGAAAAATAAAATAAAATTTAAAGATCTATATATGGACGTAACAGTACATAGCCCAATATTGTCTTTTGTAATCTCATCTGCAAATATGATAAAATAAAAACATGCAGATTGATTGTACAGTATCTGAAACTACAAATATCCAGTAGCCTTGATTAAATATAGTCAAATACCAATGGGCAGTGTCAGGATTCACAACTTCATCCCAAAAATTCCAGTGTCAATGAGATGTTTACACAGAAGACATTTACAGATGATAAAAAGGACTCAAAATAGATTACACAAAATAACATGGACATTTATGTGGGCATGTCAGTAGTACCACTGTATCTCCAAATGAATAGAGTTACAATAATCCAGCAGATTTTCACAGATAAAAATCATTTCTGAGTACCATTCGAGCAACATCGATTTCCACACATTAGCTGGGAACCTCTTATAATGTTTAGACTTTAAAAAAAAATAGATTTAATAAAGCATGAACATAGATTGAATTTAGGCTTAGCAACTACCTTACTACCCTAACCCCTTAATGAACAGTTTTGAATCTTAATTATGAATGAAGTCTTAAGTGTTAATGCTTTATTAAGGCTAATTAAAGTGTAACCCTTTATCTTGTGACACAAAAATGGAAAGTGGAAGTTGTAAAAAATCTTAGAGTGTATTTAACAAAATAAACATTTTAAAAAAGGTCATATCGTTGCTTTTTTTTTTTTTTTTTACTCCTCTTCATTGTGCATGACAATTTGTAACCACTGGGAGAATTTCCACATTCGAAACCTTCTGACAAACTACTAAAGAACAGAAGGCATGAGAAAACTACAAAAGTACAATTTATATCACAACTTGGGCATCTTCTCTCACAGTGTTCATCAAAAATCAAAAATATATCAACAAATAAATAAAACTCAACAATCCCGTAATAATCCCTGCCAAATTTTGGACTAAAAACACCAGGAGCACATCCATGGTCGCAATACCTGACATAAGAAATCTCACATATCAACAAGGAAGCTACAATAGAGTGCAACTATTCAGCGTTCATAGGATTTTTCAAAGAAGCATAATCGGGCGGTTCATGCTTAAGTTACAGAGAGTAGAGAAATCGGTCTATAGAACTACAGCCTATTCCAGGAAACATGCTAGGAGTCCCCACATCGTTTAAACAGACAACTACACGCTAACAGTTCATCCAACCCCCCTCCCACCTGCACACTCACAGCCACAAAATGCAATAATGAAACTAAACTTGGGGAAAAAAAAAAAAAAGATTGTGGGATGCTTTCTGAGAGGTAAAAATAACAACAACGTTCAATCACTGTACAGTAATAAAACTCCTGCCATGATGCAATTAAAAACAATATTAAACAGTAGTAATGCTGTAGTGGCCTATGGAGAAGGGGCAATGAAAACAAACAGGACGTCCCGAGTAGGAGATGACGGTCAGTAGTTTTGGCTAAAAAGGTGAGGTAGGCCTTGTCACAACTCGGAGTGTGGCTGTAGTTAAACTGGCAGGTTTTTGTCATGTAGAGTCTGTATTTAGTAGTGTATTGTTTTCATATAGAGTGTTGAGCGTCTCTAGAGCTCTTTGTACAGTTCACATCTTTACATCCTCCTCTATGCTGAGCTGGGACAGAGTTTTCTTAATGCGCAGAGCAGTCAGACGTGCTGCTCCGTTGGCATACCAGCACTCCCTCATGATCTTGCCCATAACACGAAGTGACTAAAACGAGAAATAAAGGAAATCAGGGTCATTTTAATATAACACAGCATGGTGACTTAAGTTGAAGTAAAAGATTACAGTAGTCAAATTGACCTCATAGCTCTGCCACCAGTTGGGCACGTTAGGCCGGAGTTTCTGGTCACACACCACTTTCCTCATCTCCTCTATGGATGGGTCTGAGGGCACCAGGTCGTAGTATGGAAGCTGGTACTCTTCGTGAATACCTCCAGCATTGCAGCGCCGAGCAATCTCCCAGTAGACCAAACCCAGCGCATAGATGTCCGCACATTTGAAAGAATCAAAGTGTTTCATGTTTATGGTTTCATCTAGAACCTCTGGAGCCATATACCTAAAGGAAGAGAAGATTGGTGAATGTGGTTATATAGGACTCTTGACATGTATACAGTGAAGCACTAAGCACAGTTAGGCGATATGTGAGTGGAGGTTAGAGGAACCATACCTCTTCGTCCCCACACGCTGGTTTGGAGCTATATCGATTGTGTCTGTGATGGACTCGTGACGAACTGCCAAACCAAGGTCAGCTATGGCGCACATACCATTCTTCTTTACCAGGATATTTTTAGACTTGAGGTCCCTATGAGCGATGCCGGGCTTACCTGTATGGTACACAGTGGCATTAACAGATAAATAAGTTGTCTGCTCGTAGAGTGAGACTGGTTAAATTAGCCTCTTTAAGAAAAAAGCCCATCTCACCCTGAGTGCCAAGGATTTCCATGTGAAGATGTGCCAGGCCGCTGGCAGCAGACAGAGCCAGCTTAATCATGCCCTCTATCGTGACGGAGTAACGATTCAGATAATCGAAGAGAGAGCCATGCTCATGATAGTCTGATACCAGCCATAGCTGGGTCCATGTGCCATTGTCTGTAAGGTAGAAATTCATATTTAGAATAGGAGTGATAACAGTCTAACAGTTGGGTAAACAGCCTTTACCTTTATTATCTGCTGCAATAAAGCCCAAGATGTTCTCGTGTCGCAGCATGATTGTCTGGTAGATTTCTGCTTCTCTGAACCAGGAGCGCTCCTCTCTGGATGAGAAGATTTTCACAGCTACATCTCCTCCTCTCCACTTCCCCCTCCACACCTCTCCAAACCTCCCCTTCCCGATAATCTCCTGAAGCACGATTGTCCTGGCCACTGTGCGCTGCACAAACAGGGGTAGGCCTGTAGGGGGCAGTGGAGACAAACAAACGTTACTACTTAATTTAACACAAAAAACTGACTCAACCACTATCAAACACAGAGATGAGATACTGTAGAAAATGTACAAGCCAATTAAAACTTTTATTTAATATTGGCATTTGTTTTAGTCAAAATTAAACCTCATTCTGATTCGCTAATGTTTTAAAAAACAAAATTACTTCAACATGAAGACTGAACTTTATTGAGTATAAACTGCCAAGATAATAAAAATAGTTGAGTCATGATGTATTTATGTCCCCAGGAGAGCACCCTCCCCCCATGGTGAGCTATAATTCACTTAAACACTACGAGCAGCAACTAATAAACTTTAGTATGTTGCTGCGGCTTGGGCTGTAACATTAATCACCACCAAATCAAAAGTGTAAATTGCTAACACTGCAATTATTTAACAGCATTTCCATAAACAACCAAATAAGCTATATTATAATGCATTAAACCTGCTAAGCTTGTTGTTAAGACCTCTACCTCTGAAATGTATGGTTCTTGTATTTTTTAACACTTCTTATTTTAATCTTTTAATGCTTGTGGGATGTTTTTATAATGTGCACTCTGAACTAAATTAAAATATAAATTGCACAATTGCCATTGCACTTGTTCAGGCTCTGACCTGAGCCGGAGCCGGAGGTGGACATGTCGTAGATGAGGTCTTGCAGGGTCTTGTCCTTGGCCAGGTACAGGTGCTCACAGGAGGGGTCCTCCAGCTCCAGGCGCTGCCTGTGATTGTACGCCCTCTGCTGGTACTGGAACAGAAACACGCCCACCATCAGCAGCACACTCAGCAGGAACACCGGCCCTGCGATCACTGCTACCAGCTCCACTGGACCCCACGAGCTGCTGCCACTGCTCGACCAGGCTGCCTTGGTAGGAACTACAGGGCAATCCAGACAGAAAAGAGAAATATGTGAGTACAATAATAAAAAGATGCTGAAGTATGTCTCAAGAAGTAAATTATTATTTAAATGCCGTAGTTCCACAGTAGTAAATTGAAGGTGGCTGTTAATATAAAAATAAATTACATGTTTTAAAACTGAAGTTTACATGCCTATATATGGTCCAGTTTTAAGCACAAATGTATTATTCAAATAAAATATTTTTACAGCATAGATCAGATTTTTGAATAGCCATGGCACCATACAATTCTTTTTGCAAACCAAACTAAAAACAACATGATATACGTTGTGCTTGGACTGACCGGGGACCTTGAGATCGATGCTATTGCAGTAGTCGCTGTAGCAGCAGTGGGTATTGAGTAGCCCCTCTGCACTGAGGCAGTAGAAGGGCTGTCCTGGGGGCACCAGGTTGTCCCGGTTGATGCAGATGCGCACGTGCTGCTCTTTGCCCTGGTTGTAGTATGTGGAGGCCATGCAGGCGCCATCTGTCTCACACTCATACCCTGTCTTCTCACAGGTTGTGCAGTTACATCGCAGGGCTGCAACAGAGAGAGAGAGAAAGAGATATTCAAGTAAGTCCTTATTCTGATTGGCTCCTATAGGGGGCGACACAACCCAATAACCCCAAGGCATGACAAAATTTGATGCTGTGCACAGTTTCAGTGGTATGTGTGACTCTCATACACAGAGCTCAGACAGTCAGGAAACAGGATCCTCCACTGCAGATGAACCCAAACACACTGAAGAGGAGGAAGAGGAGGAGGGGGAGCTGCCCGCAGGGAGTCACACGGAACCTGACCAGAACCTAAGTCCCATTGCAAAGCTCCCTCTGCCCCTGCTCCTGTCCTGCCCTTGCTCCTGTCCTGCCCTTGCTCCTGTCCTGCCCTTGCTCCTGTCCTGCCCTTGCTCCTGTCCTGCCCTTGCTCCTGTCCTGCCCTTGCTCCTGTCCTGCCCCTGCTCCTGTCCTGCCCTTGCTCCTGTCCTGCTGCCCTGCTCCTGTCCTGCCTGCTCCTGTCCTGCCCCTGCTCCTGCCCTCCTGCCTCCTGCTCTGTCCTGCCCCTGCTCCTGTCCTGCCCCTGCTCCTGTCCTGCCCCTGCTCCTGTCCTGCCCCTGCTCCTGTCCTGCCCCTGCTTCTGTCCTGCCCCTGCTCCTGTCCTGCCTCTGCTCCTCTTCTTTACACCGACATTGTTTAATGAGACTGGAGCTGTAGTGAACACCTCGCTCTAGTGCAGGGACCCATTAAAGCGCCCACAAAGATCTCCCACTGTTGAGTAATAAAACTACAGCAGTCAATTTGACACAGTGAAATGAGGAAACGAGGCCCTCAGAAAATGAAGTTGATAAATTCGTCTTTATTTTTTTTCAAATTGAAGTCACTGCAGCTGATCAAAGTGACTATGGGCTTTAGGTGATGTTATTCACTTTGCATGTGACTTATGAAAGTATCCAGAGCATGATGATGATGATACTTCACAATTAATAAGGTATGACCAAGTAATGTCCTCTGTAAACATCAAATTATGTCTGTCTTTCAGGGGAACTTATTTTTAGATAGTGTGTATACTTTAATATTTCAGTCAAACAAATGATAATGCTCCTGGACTATAAAAATATTACTCCAGATTTTAAAAACACAGAAACTGTATATCTAAATCTAAATTATACATCATGCATGGTTCAAATCATTTATGATCTGCCAAACTACATGTGGCCGTATAACCCTGGGAACAACAAACAGCAAACTGATTCAATTTACTCCCAAATGCAATTTGGACCATCACACACATGCTTTTCATTTGGAGTTAGGCCAGCACAGAAAGGCCACCACCAGCGCTGCGTACCATTGGCTGCCCGGGTGCGGAACAGTGGGTTCACATGGGAAAGTGAACAGAGCTCAATGACAAACTGTGCTGCTGCTGATGACAGAGTGTGAATGAAGCGTGACAGGCTCTGAGCTGATCCTGCGCCCAAACAAATGAGACCTCTCACGACTAATCGCTGTGAAGACAAGACCAATGTACCGAGAATGCTCCTGGAGGAGGCATGCAGCATAGACCAAAGTCAATCCTGATTTTACAGAAAAGAAAAACAGAAAACAATGTGTGAGAACAGAGATTTAAAGGAAAGAGGGAGGATTGGGATGCTAATCGAAGGCTTTTCCCATGGAGCTTTTTAAACCTCATTAACAAAAATGTGCCATAGATCAAAAGTCTGTATAAAGTGTTGGTGATTGAATGTTTATCCATTGTGCTTGACAAAATGAATATAATTTTTCCTTTCCACATGAACAGTTGAACAGATGAACAGTTTAGATGTTGATTCTGTAAATTGCCAAATGGTAACTATATGCTATATGATTTTTAAAAAAGCATTCTCTAGAATTAGAAAACTACCGTAAGTTTATCAGACTAAAAAGTATGTTATTGGTCAACTCTGTATATTTGCACCCTGATTTGTTCCTAGCGTTCTTTCACAATGCATATTACTTGACTTACTGCAAAGCCACGACACTGCTAAACAATTCAACACAGGATCCAGGATTACACCACACATGCAAAATTCTAGTGGACCACAGAGAATGTTGTCAGACAGGAGTCTCTCCAACATGGGATGGCAGAGTGGTTTTGGACTTTATTAAAATATACGTGTGGACGTAGCTCCCTTAGTTATCAGTAGAAAAGCGGGACCTGTTTTCAGTGGTTTTAAATTTAATGGCCATGCCGCAACAGGAGACCGGCAGAACTGTGTGGAGGGTGTCCAAACTCCACTTGGCTCTTTTAGAGGAATTTCCTGCAGATTACACAGAGGTGAGCAGCCAGAGGTCCATAATGAGACAAAAACAACCCCCTGCCCTGCACTGTGGCAGCTTTAATAGTCTGCACTGATGTCATCTTTTTATTTACCCCGTTCCTGTAATTCACACTGCCCCCCCACCCCTGCACGGTGTAACAGGACTGAGGTTACTGGTTCTGAGCCAAACAAATCAATTCTTTGAGAGGAAGAGTCTAGACAGAAGCCATTTTGATCAATCCATCTCCAAAGTAAGAGTGATGTTTTCACAAACTGCTGAGGGAAGGTTGTGCACACCGCACTCACGTTACAGCCAAAATGTCTGGGGGATGTAGTGTACCTCCTCTTACTTTCAGATGTTTCTTCTGGTGCTTTAAAGCCCTTCTTCATCTCCACAGAGCTGATAAGAGCAGAATGTAGGCCGTATATCATAGGCCATGTGTGGTGAGACAGATGGTGCGCAGACACCGCTCACATAGAACTAAACATGGCCCAGATCACACTCAGTTCCTCTCGGGAGGCCTCAGAGGTTTGTGGTCCACCAAAGTTTGGTCTGTGGCAAACAAACGGTTTCACTAAAGACTACCTTCCTGTACAACGGGGACATTTATTTTACTTAACTTTTTACCATTTCCCTTTTGTGTGATCTGGTCAAATATCTGGTCATCGTACACTGAAGTCACTTTACCTGCCATTTTATGAATGAATGTCTAATGAACATACATATCCACACATTTGTACCCTTAGGGTCACTCTACTTACATATCATCTTTACGCCTTTTGCATTTCTTTATAAAGTGCTACTTAATGTTCTAGTTAAATCTGGGCAAAAGTCTGTTTTTAATAGTTAATTATCTAGGTTTTTGATTGCATATAATTTTTTTTCCTGCTGTTCTTGAACTTTGAGTTGCAAACGCTGGAATTTCCCAATAGCAGAGCAAATAAGGATTATTTTATGAACATCATCATTTTCAAACGTTTTCATTAACCAAATCCTTGATGGGGCACATTTATCAAATCACGAAAGCAAGAGGGGGAAAAAAATAATAATCATCCCATGAACAAAAACAAGCAAGCAAGTATATTATGTATAGCAAGCTAAATATTGTAAACAAATACAGTTTCAAAAGGTCAACACTTGCTTGGACGTTGTGAATATGACTCAACTTGATAAAATGGCCTAAAATACTCTTCAAGACCCTGGCCAGCATGCTTTTAGTCAAATGAGCAGCCTCAGTTTGTCCAGCACTTGACAATTCACTGAAGGAGACTGGGGTGGTTTTTGACTGAACTCTCTGCTTGTATCCACATAATTGGTGGTCTTACACTGGTCCTTTGTGTGGAGATTAAGACGACATGAGGAGGGATTGGACTCAACTCAGAGGGGAGTGTGAATGGGGGGGGGGTACACTTGGGGCAGAGTGGGGGAGGGGTGTGGCTGTGACGGGACAGCCAGAGTTTCGGGGGTCTGTTGCCGTCGTTGTAGACCAGACAGTTGGTGGGAGGGGCTGGCCCCAAACTGTGCATGGGACAATACTGCAGGGAGGGGCGAGACACACACACACACACACAGCTCCAGGCATGAGGGGGCTAGCATGAGTGACCAGCTGCGATCGTCATTAAAACTCAGTCTAGACTTTGACTTATGGTGGGGGGTCCCACAGGAAAGGGAGGAGAGAAGGGAGAGACAAATATGGCAGCTACCAGTGTCAAGTTCCTTTCATTCCTGTTCAAGTTAGGGCAAGAAACACAGACTACATGAGTGAGAAAGGGATTAATGGAACAATGTTGCCAAAACCAGTGTCACCTTACGTCAGACCTAAAGTGCAAACCACAAAAGTGTCCGTTCAGCCACATTTTCTTCTTGATCGAAACAACACAATTAGCCTACACAAGATATTAAGTATGAATGAAAAGACAAAATGGGTTGGTGAAGTAGTAGATACATAGTTTAAATTGGGAAAACCGTTACATAATGTTGTAATGTACAAGTAAAAGTAAATGTACACATCACTACTTCTGTATATGAAATGTGTAAAATGCAGCCAGTTCTTGGTTTCATGCAGACAACTCTAAACTAAAACTAATCAGCAATGTTGTGTCACAAAGGGCACCCAAATCTCACTGGCCTATAACTGACCAGTCATAAAACTTTATGACTGGTTTCTAGTGTTTTTAGTTTCTAGTGTACATGAGAGATGTAAAAAAAAAAAAAAAAAAGTTATACAAATGTTATCTAAATAGATAATATTTAAAACATTAACAGTGACATTTTGAGTCTGTTTCGTCCAGATAAGTCTGTCTATCACAATTTACATTGCAACCCTACTTAAAACCCTGATCTATGCCAGCTGTTCAAGGAGGACTCATCGCTGAGCCCACAGCACTGGCCAGCAGGAGGTTTACTCTGGAAAAGCCTCTGGTGAGTGGGCTTCTGCAGACAGACCCGGCACCATTACCAAAATGTACTGGCTGAAATTAGATCCATACAAATGCCAGACTGAGAGCTGATCAAGACAAGTAGACGCCACTAGACTCACACACACCACACTCACATACTACTACTGCTGCTATGGCCTAATCAATGGTGGGGAGAGGAGCAAAGTCATTACCTGCGTCTGCTGCTCAGGGTCAGATTACTGATTTGATTCTGAAAGGAGGTCTTTGGGGAACGCACTGCCTCTTCAGACTCTCTCTAGCAAACCACGAGCCCCCAGGCTACAGCCCATCCTGTCTGCTGTCTGCGTCA